GTTGGTGTTAACCAGTACATTGGTATACTTTTATCTAGTATGGTAGTATGCATATCATCGTTTCCAAGCAGATAATATTAAGTGTTTGTCAAAGTTGGGTCGTATGCATTCATACGTGAGGAAGTGGAAGATTAAAAGTTTCTTTTTTATTTTTCACTAATTCATTAAGAAAACTTTAAAATGTTTGGAGATCAATTCGACGGTCAGCTTCAAGCGTTTTTTTCCCCGAGGGTTCGAAGATATTAAAGACGCGTGGCTAGTGTGGTACTATGTATTAAGGAGGGGGTGCTGTCGACGATCACGTGCTGTTTTGTGTGACCGTCCTGCGCTACGGTGATATATGATATTTTCGGAAGTGCAGCCCGGTGCGCTAATGATTCACGATCCGATGATTTCATTGTTTCTGCCTCTTTCTCCTTATTCGACTAGCTGTTGCATTAACGTTACTATTGCCTTCTTTCAAGCAAAACGTTGTTTCTTTCCTTTTTCGCATAAGTGCTACAAGTAATTAACTTCACGTTAATACACCATTTGACTTTATTTTCGATTTTTTCATTTGATTCAAAAAGAGTGAACTCTCTCCAAGGAAATTTCGATTTGTTCCCCCTGCTGAAAAATTGTAAGTAGCGTATAAACGTTATGTTGTTGCTCAACGAAAATGCCAGAAGGTTAATTTGGTGTCGGAGAGCAAAATATCTTCATTTCAATGTTTCAGGGATTTTATGGTCGCGAAACAAAAGGTCACAGTAAGAAAGAAATATTGACACAAATGTTGCAACTTTTATTCACTGCCAATGTTATTTTATGGCAGGGTACGTGCGTTGCTGACTACAACCACAAGAAAGCGAGGATATGAGCAGAACATAGAACCTCAGTTGGGCTTCAATCCTTCATTACCCCTACGGGGGACTCACGTGTTATCCACCATACACTGCACCAACTAACGGCGAAAATTCTCCGTTCACTGAATAACCCATGATGTGACGAATCTGACTAGCATACTTCCCGGTTCAAGAATTATTATAATAGCATGATCTGTCGCGTGAATGTGTCTTTCAGAGAAGCCGGAAAAAAAATCAGTAGAGACTAAAGTTAGGTATGTAGTCATCTGATAAGTAGGTAGATCATCGGGAATCTTTTTTTGTTGGTTTGGTAGTAGAGCTTTTTTGTCATTATTTAGAATATAACTGTAGAACTGTTTGGGAACTCATTTTTTTAAACGAAAAATTTGGATCAAGTAGAACGATATGTTTTGAACATCTACAACGACCATTCTTGATTAGGTGATTGGAAAAGGTTCATCAATTGTCTGTCCTGATGGAAACCGGTTGGTAACGCCTTTGTGATAATGTGAGCAGTTCGGAGAGCGAGAAAATTTGTCTGCGAACGGTTCCTTCCAGTCATCATATGCCAAGTTCTAATCATGACAACTCGTGCTGCCAATTTCTTAGTGTACCATTTAGGTGGTAATAAACCATGGTCACATTGAAATTTTACAACTTCATGGACATTCGTGTCCTTAGTGACTAATAATATTCCAGTTTACTTTGAAGTTCCGTGTTCGTTAGTGTCAAGTTGTGCCTGCACTCAGGCCGTATTTCTTCTGTCGTTCCATGGACGTCACAAAGCGAGGTGTATTATGTGGAGTCGGCTAGCCGCATTGCTACTTTAAACAGATGTTAATTGCACCAAAGTTTATAATCTTCAGTCATGCCTCGAACATGTGATCCTTCAATTAGGCGGCGTTATTTCTGTGTATTCCTCGATTGCATCAGCATTGATAACAGGCATGAGCTTTGTTTACGAAATATGTTGGAGCTCCAATCATTGGTATTTGATGATTCATTTGGTCCATTGTTGATCAGTTATTCTGTAGGTAATATTGTACTGGTACCTCAAAATTTTAGTATAATTTCGTGCTATTATTCGACAGAAGTGACCTACGTGAGATCGGCGACTATTGCCCAATCTGTCTTTTTTTCATTTTTTTTTCAAGACCGCCTTTCTGTTAACCTAGGAGTTGATCAAGTAATCCCCTGTGTTATTAATGAGCAAAACATGAGGTTATTTTATTTTTTATTGATGAAAAAACTAACGTTTCGGCTGATGTTGCCTTCTTTAGAGCCTGGAAAGGTGAAGTTGTCTGAAATGTACGCAGCCAAACACATACATAACAGCAGAGAGTTCACATGGATAGGTATTGTACCTCTCTCACTCGTAACTACTCTGTGGTATTACGCGTGATTAAAAGGCATTACTCCTTGCGGTTCATTTTCGGATCCTTGGAATTTATGCAGAATGCATCGAGAGTTTTTCAGAAGTTTTCGATTCCTGTGCGAAGATCGTAGCTTCTACTTCCAAATCTTCCCCGTTATGTCTCTGTGTTCTCTGCGCGTCAAATGGAGTATTCGGTTTACCTTTGAGTTTACCAACTAGATGTTCCTTTACATGGATGCAAAGTGACATGCCCGTTTTGCCAATGTATTAGTCTCCGCTCGCTTTACAAGAGATCGAATAAAATTTACCCGAAATTTGTGCTGTAACAGTCTCCACCGTTAGGCCGTATTATATAATTTTGCGTTGTACATAGATGGTCCATAAAGGCGGTTTCCAGTTGATTAGCGTCTTAGAGTGCACCATGGTATTTTCAGTCTCTACTACTATCTGGTGTTCGGTAGATTGCATGAGTTCGGGTGCGGTTTATCCTATATTTTGTGGACCGAAAGGAGATAAATACATTAGTGGTGTGATAGACCACTCTGCGTCCGTATAAAAGAACACGTAGCTGTAAACTTAAAGTTAAATCAAATACACCACTAGGCGCTCATTCGACACAGAGACATAATGTGGAAAGTTTTGAAATAAAAGTTGCCATCCTCGCGCAGGAGTCGAAAACATCGGCGCGCAGAATTGTTGGAGCACCCTATATAAATTCAAAAATTCTAAAAATAAACCGTAGGTAGCAATACCTCGTTATCACGCATGATCTCACACAGTATTTCGGATTGATATTTTGATATGGGAGGCGTATGACTATGTGAACTGTGTGTGATTGGCCTCACGTGAAATACTCGTAGAAAGCGTTAGTTGTGCGAAGAAGCTCTGTTGTTTTCAATGCGATTGAAGTCTTGGTTTCGCTCTCTTCTTTTTTTGGTTATGGAGGTGTTTGGTTAGGTAAATTATAGTCAATTTGAACATTCTAAGCTCTGAAGAAGACGAAGTCGACCGAAACATGAGCATTTTCGCCAATAAGGGAACAGTTCACTCTGTTTCCCTTTCATTGACTTAAAAATCATTTTGATATCAATTGAGATGGAAGCACTAATGGAAGATGTGGATAGTTAGGGTGTCTCTGGGCACTGTGTAAAGATTCTGCGTGATCTTTATAAAAGTTTTGCAACCAAAATATCACCATTCCTTAACTGTATTAACATTGACGTAAAAAAGGTTGGGTAAAGCGATACTATCTGGATAATTATTTATTGACGCCTAGACCATCATGAGAAATTTAGGATAAAGTGGGATTGAAAGTAGATGGTCAACGTTTTGACTTTGCTAATGATATCGGTGGTATAAAACTAAGCATTATCCAGATGGAACGAATGCTTGCCGACTTTGACAACCTCAGTGGAAGGAGTGATCTTCGACTAAATTTCACAAAAACGATGTTCATGTGGAACGGATTGGTTTCATGTGTTCCATTCACGCTTAACGATGGGAATATCTCCGAATGCTTCAGCTACATCTTTCTAGATCGAGAAACCAACATGATGAACGGCTTAGCTCCAGAGTTGAGCCAGAAGAAGCAAGTGGCTTGGGGAGCGTTCAAAAGTTTTGAAGATTTAGTGAAGAGAAATAAGAAGACGCGACTCCGAGCCCATATTTTCGACTCTACGGATTCTTCATGTATGCTCAGGAAACCCCGTTGCTATGTAAACAAGATTAAAGATCACTAAGCGTTATATACAGTCGAGAGGACGATCTTGGGAATATCTCATGTAGCACAAGGGATAGGGAATCCAAAGTTCCAACCTGCATCAGCGATCATAGATCAAAGATACCGTTATACATGCCAAAATGTCAAAACTCATGCGTTTTGAAAACGTAGTGCACCAGAAGAGTACTGTTGTACAGAAGTCATTAGCACTAGATTTGTTGGGATGTCAAACTCACAGCCAAAGGACTACTGAGCCGATGGTTAGAGTTCTGCGCGAGAAGTTTGGAAGACATATTATGCTCAGCGAATGCCTGTGGCGAGCAGAACCCACTGAACTAATTTGCGGGTGCTCGCTCAAATCACTCGACAAACGGACGTCAAGTAATAGAAGGACATTGGTTTGAAGAAGCGTTTTTTCTTTTAGTAGAATTAATACTTTTTGTTGTTACCGACTTCTTGGAGCTTTTCCATCTAAAAAAAAAGAGTTAAAAATTGGTGCATTAAGGAAATGGTACTTTTAATCACAGGACTCGTGTAGCACAGTGGAGCAGTGATTAGGGGTGCTCAGCAATGTACATGGGCTTGATCCCGCGCATCACCTTTACCAAGTCTATTCCTCTAGGGTCAACAGGTTAGTATCATACCTGTCTGTGAGAATAGTAACATTGGCCTGATACATCAGTAGGCCACCGTGAGTGATTGGATAGGTCAGATATGCATTCATTCATCGCTAACGGTGTCTGATGAAGTGAAATGCATGGCATTTCTCTCAGGGATTGATCAATGCCAAGAGCCGTATTCTTTATCCTTTTTCCTTTCATTCATTTTCAGATCTAAAATTTTTGAGGAGTTCTGACCTCTAGATCCTTCTACGTGCTTGAAACATCTGCTGCGTTTTTTCTGTATACTTCTTCTATTTCTTCTATTCGCTTGCAATTATAGTTTACCCTGTTTAAGCATTTTTAGTTGTCTTTCTTACCGTTAAGAATTATTTTAAATAATATTACATAGTACATAGATGATTCACCTCTGCATGTCTTGGAGGCTTCAACAGTTTTTCCATTTATCCTTCTGTTCTGCAACTGTCGTCGTTGAAGTGGTAGGATTCGTGCACTGGTTCGGTTGCCGTTTGATTATCTGGAGGTGTATTCCAGCAGTGAATACAAATCGCTTGTGTGGGTACATGCCTATCCATATTTTTCGACGTGTCACATCGGGTTGTCTTCATTCCTTCGGGATCCACCTTAATCGTTGTTTCCATTGCTGCAAATAATTCAATTTCCAACACATGACCCAGAAGAGAAACGACTGGCTGGTGATTGTTAACTAAGGAGAGACTGAGGGTGCAATCTAATGTCGCCACAAGATGTGCACGTTCGCACATTTCTTTCGTATCCATTGATCGAGTTTTTCCGTTCTCCATCATATCGAGGCATACCTAACAATATGAATGTGAATCGTCCTTGGAGCCATCTTCACTATGCTCATCACGCAATCCGTAGGCCTTCAACATGTCTGAAAGCATATTACTAGTGAAATTAGTGTATTAATTACTGTATTACTAGTGAAATACCACAGTTTTGTCTCTACTTTGGAGATTTTTGTTTTTTAATCGATTATCGTATAATCTCTTTTGCTTTCAACATGTTCTATGTCAAGCGGAAACTCAGAACTTAGAATAATTCTTTTTCTTTTACAACAGATCAAAATATTCCTTTTGCGATGTCATTGTATAGGAGAGTTATTCCTTATTAAAACTTTATTGTAATATTTTGCTTTCCCCTTCTGAGTTCCATTTTCATCTTCCGAAGATATTCGGCTAAGATTTTGAGATACCTTTAGTATTGCTTTATTTACCCGACGCAGGACCAGATCTTTTACTGATCACCTCACCTCTTATTCGATTTGCTTGTTTGAATTCCTCATGCACAAAGATCTTGGGATTTGCTAATAGGTGGGATTTTTGGTCTTCTTAATGTCGTAGAATGCTGATCCTGTCGATTCTCCTCAGAATCCTTTGGTACCAGTGCTAAGGTGTAGTTCGTGGATTTTTGTCAATGGACCTGTTCAGTATTTATACACATTAAAAAGTCAAAAAGTCGGAGATTTCTGTGTGAGAAAATTCTGTGAAGCTATAAAGAAGAATGGTAATGTGGGAATGGCCTTTTGTGTTACTTTCGAATGGTGTCGTGACAAATCAAGAATGTGAGGTTATCACAACTCGATTTTGACAATATTATGTAAGAATAACGCGCTTCTATTTAAATTCAGTTTATCTCATATTTTCAATAGAATCTTTTTGAAAGCTGTGTTTGTATCTTTTGGAGCATTTTTTGCAGCTTTGGAAATCCTGAAAAGTGGTCATGTCAGACACATAAGCGTCTTCATGCTTAGTTTGACAGCATCCAGTTGATGATTATAAATCCTCGGTTTCATAATCACTCAAGGTTGTTTGTTTTTCAAACAGCTTCGCCATCTTGTTTGCTTTAAATCCCAGTGTGTTTGGGGCAGATACGGCGTTCACTATGTTTACAATAAGATTTGTTTCTTGGTGAACAAAGCGTTTTCTTTTCATTTTTTCTTTGGTTGCAACCAATAGTGTTGAGTTGTCATGCATTGAAAGTGGGCGCATTTAGGTTTTTGCTTTCATTTTTTCCTTCTCTAATGAATGTGATTTTTGTCTTTCACAATATTAGAAAATGGCCACGCCATTTATATCCTCGACAATCCGTATAGGTTGCTCAACTTATAGAAATCTTTTTCTGCATTCACTATTTACACCTTGTAGAATTCTTACCCTCTATTCGGATTGCCTTGGAAAACCTTTTTCTGAGGGCGGCTCCGAAAATCCTGTTGTTCAGTTCTTTATAGAGGAATGTTTATCACTAAAATAACTGGATATGGTAACGAGTAATTATCCTTTTAATGAAATGCTGCTTTTTTGTTATCCCTACCTCCTTGTAGTTGTCGATTTAAAACCATACTGCGGAAGAACGTACTTGTTCTAGTTAATTTTAGTTCTTATAAACTCCTTTGGTATTATTTCCAATTGCGATTAACTGAGAGGACGGGGAGTTGAGGAAGTATTTTTGAGTATTTTAATTTCTACTGGAAATTATCGCGGAGGAAACTTGAATGTAGGATTAGAATTTTTTAAGGATTAGCATTAGTGCACGAAGTGCGTCATATGTGACTCATAAATGGTTGAAAATAAAATAGCCTTTTGATTTTAAGAAAATATTTCGGCTCATGGAGTGAACTTTATCAGTTGAAATAAAATCATTAGTATCTGCAAATCTCTGCCAAGAAGGTGGAATTTTCTTACTTAACTGCGGTGAAATTCTCATTTCTCAAAGTTCAGAACTTTTTACATTTTTTTTCGCCGAAACTCATACTTTGAATAACGAAGTCTTTCAAAGGCAGAGGAACTATTCACCAGGATGTGGTGATGTTGACGAAAGAATTGTTGGTGTTTGTGACTTTACACTTACGTTAAAGATTCGAATTTTTCCGATGGCTCGAGTTTTAAAACGTTTTGAAAAGCTCTGATATACTTTTACGGTAGAAAATCTAAGGCAGTTTTTCTGGGATGCTTAGCGGATGTGTTAGTGAACGTACTAAATTTTTACACCTGTTCTTCTTCAAAAGAGAATCTGTTTTTGCTGTGGTCACTGGCTGAGACTGTTGTTGACATACAGTGTGTTTGAACACTGATTGCACAAATCGGATTACGTTATTTTACCAAGTGTTGTCTCACAACATTGAAAAGTCTTCTGAACCTGTTGAAGTATTTGTAGCAATAGATCAGCAGTCGGCTTGTGCTTGAACACTTTTTATCATACTTTTCGGTTCTGTTATTTCTTTTTCTTAAGTATTTTTGGGACGATATATCTGTGCTAATTAAATTTTTCACTCAAGGACAAATTGATAGCAAAAAACTGCAGTCTAAAACTGTTCACTGGATGTCATTCATACGATGATGCGTCTACTCGTGTTTAGATTTGACAGCACCATGTCTCTAAGATCAGCACCAAATTGTACTACGCCACAGCGCTTTTCACAGACATATAAGGGGAGTCGACCAGAGCTCACAACTACCACATTGGCGGCCCTGGTGGTTTTTTCTATAACTACCGATCTTTCTTTTTCGACAAAATGAGTTGGGAACTTGACTGATTTGTGCAGCAAAGTTTTTTCTGTCGCCATAGTGTTATGTATTACTTTTCGAAAGTATTATTTTTAGTTTTAGATGCGTCTAACACTTAGGAGTCAGGGAGATGAAAAATTTAATTTCAAGAGTTTCTATTCATAGCGCGGCGACGAGAAGAGTGAATGGACGTGTTAAGTAATCTCAACGCGTTTTAATGGGTGAGATAGCATTTGTTCCATTTCTTAGCTCGTAGTATGACCCTTGGCAAAAAAAAAAACAGCGAGGTAAAATGGTTTCGCGAGATCGAAGAACTCGAGTTCTATCGTACTCGATTAAAAAGTGTGCCCTAATGAAGACTGCGGATTACAATGGTTTTATTTCAATAACGTTCACTATAAGGTGAGACGCGCACAAACGGGCATATCTCCTGAGACGGTTTCGTTGAGCGAAGTTGATCACGAGAACGGTATGCAAGACAAAAGAGACCTTCTACTCTTTTTTATGTAATGAAACCGTTCCGCACTGAAGTGAACTTTCTAACCGAAAGAAGTTTAATATTTCATCTGACAGACTGTAGTAGTTGGAAAAAAATACCGTTATAGCAAATTCCAACATCGAGTTTCTGTTAAACTAAGAATCGAACTATAATTTACTGTTTTCTAGGTGAACAGAAACGATGTTGTTTTTACACTATTTATTCACAATGACTGAGGTTTTGGCGACCTGATTTCTTCAGAACCTCGAAGAGTCTAACTGGCACGCAGTCCACTTACTTAAAAACTATCATAACCTCAGCGGAAAGAGGAAACTTAATAGATAAATTTTTATATGCATAGTAAACAGCTTCTGTTAAACATTCACTTTTTTGTTCCTTTGAGTCTTCTAGTTTTTCAATAGAGATCAGCAGCACAGAATCCTCTATAGGTCAGGGATGTACCTGGCTTACGTAAAAAAAAAACCAGCCTAAGATATGGCATGAGGTTATGCTAGATCACCAGGCACTTCTCCATGCTGTTCGTTTTTGGATTTTTGAAATTTATCCAGAATGCAACTAAGATAGATAATGCTGAGATATTGGCAAAACTCCGGACCGCAGGTGCCTACGGTGAGGAACGAACGCGCTATTGTCCTTTCCGGGGAGTAACGCGTTCACCACCACACCATGCGGGTCCTTCGTTTCGCTTGTCTCTCAGCTAGTTCTATTGATCGGAGCCATCAGCAATCACCTGTCAACGGGACTGATCTAGGGAGCCCAAATCGGCAACGGACCTAGTTAAGCTGAGGCTGAAATCGAAATCACAATCTTAACTTTTTTATTTACTGCCTACTGTAATTTTTAACGGCGGGGTATTATGTGAAATACGGCTAAGATAATGCTGAGAAATTGGTTGATGCCGCCGATAAATAGAACTAGTCGAGAGGCAGGCGAAACGAAGGAACCCACATGGTGTGGTGGTGAACGCGTTACTCCCCGGAAAGGTCAATAGAGCGTTCGTTCCCCACCGTAGGCACCTACGGTCCGGTACTTTGCCAATATCTCAGCCTTACCTTAGTTGTATTACACATGATACCCTGCCGTTAAAAATTATAGTAGGCAGTAAATAAAAAGGTTAAGATTATCCAGAATGCTTCAAGAGTCTTATGCGTAGATGTTTGAGATTTTTGGGCGGTGATAGTGACAGTGGAGTATTTGGTCCAGCTTTAATTTTACTGTCTAGATGTTCCTTTATAGGGCAGTAAGTCGTCTACTCCTTTCGTTAGCGTTTTCATCTCCATATGTTTTACAAGAGTTCAGGTACACCGTGCCTGAACTCGTCCAATCATCTTCTTTCCTGTTACGGCACAAATTGTGCAATTTTGCATTTCGCATAGACGGTCGGTCATACAAGCGGTTAGGAACTAGCTGAAGTCTTAGAGTGTTCAGTGGTATTCCAATCATTGTTACCAATTTCACTTAACCCAACCTTTTTAAGCTACATTTCTACAGATCTTGACACCAAAATGCACCGTTTCCCTCTATACGCCAATGTGGTTTTGGCTTTCTGGGGTCATCAAAGCGTTTTTTCTTTGTTTTCTTTGTTTTCTTTCTTCTTGAAGATGGCATCTCGAGAACCGAAGTAACTGGGTGGATTGAACTACATGATGCACATTATATTGTCTCTGGAATGCTGCCAATGGGAATAGTTGTTACGTTTCTGTTAAATTCTTTAAACTCTCTCATTGGAGTTTGAAGTTTTGTCCTTGAAATCGCTTAAAATAGAAGGAAAATGTGTTTTCGAATAATTATGCGTAACTGCAGATTAAAATGGAGATTCTTTAAGTTCGTAAAGTCATCAAGTCTGCAGACACCAATTATCGAGGAATTATCGGCGCCTGTCAAAAATTCGCATAGTGGAGAGTGTATTAACATTTTGTTGGATCTCTGTAAGCTTTGAAAGCTTGCAAGTTGCTCGTGGAACTTTTCGAAGATCAACGTGTCTTAATTACCTTTAACATCCTTGCATTAGAAGCGTTGAGGAACGATCTTGTTTCCGGTCGATGTTGCCTATAATGATGTTTTCTCAAAAGCTAATTATCCTAGTCAGTTTGAGTATTAGGACCTCGTTTGTTTAGTTTTGTGGCGTGTTTCTGTATTATAAGAGGAATCTTTGGGCGCGAGAATGCTATCTGTCAATGTCACCATAGTCGTAGTGCCATGTTATTGCCTAAGGAACGAAGAGTATTCAAGCACACGTTGGTCCACTTCGTTATAAGTTTATGGAATCAGTTTTTCAGTTTCATAAACGTTTAGTGCTCGTTTTCTTCTTGTCTGGCTTTTCCAATGACAAGATACTTTATCTTCTTTGTTGGAATCAAGGACTTAAGTGAAGTACAATTCTTGCAATTAGCCGCTTCTAACCAATTACACTGAAATAGTTGCTTTTTTTGAAAAGTGTATTGTATGTATTGAAATATTATAGTGCTTTCGAGAAAGGAGTTACTAAAGTTCTCTACTTTCGTTTTGTCTAATTGCTCACTTTGAAAAAATGCCGTACACTGAACTTTTGACACCTGATGTTAATGGTCCTCAAATAAACGCCTCATTGAGGCCCAAAAAGACCAGCTTTCACCTCTAGAGTGATTTGGACTTTAACAGGATTTTTCTGTCTGATTAGTGAGTACATTGATGGCTTTGGCTGCTATTACTTAATTGCGCGGGAACTAGTTGTACAGTTATTAATAGTATCACTATATTAACATTCATTTCAGTGTTGAGTGTTGCTTAGGAATAATCTTGAACTTTAATCCAATATTAATCCTTGGGCACATCGTTTTTGAACTTTCTCGTCCTCACCAATTAAACGGTTTCTGTTAGTTTTGCTTGTTCATTCTTCCAATTTCTTGTTTTTTATTCCTGAAACTTCCTCATCTTCACTTTTCGAATCTATCATGTTCTCGTTGGATCTGTCCTTACTGTCACGAAGTTTTTTTTCGACGCGTTTTAGCAGTCACTTCTCGAAATGTTCGCTCATCCTTCCAGTTTAATAGGATCCATAGTCATCAATTTAGCAGCCTGTTTATTGTCCGTGTTTGTTTCTCTCCTAGTAATCTACCGTACTCTCATGGTCATCTTCTGAAGATTTGCTTTTTGAAGATTTGAACACGATTACTATTATTATTGCTACAACGACTATTACTACTGTAGTACTTCTACTACTATTATTTATATCATTGCAGCTACGATTAACTACAATCGCTAGGAATGGCTCAGACTCTTTCTTCTGGCTCCCATGTCCCAGTTATAACACGAGCAAGATCAAAAACTTTGAAGTGGCCTAGTTCACTTCCGAAAACTCCTCGAACGCCACGGTTAAGTCTTTCACAATATACTCTGACGCCGTATGAAGTGAGACAATTAATGAAAGCCTTTAACAATACAGTGGAACGGGATAAAACACCAATTGGGAGTTCAGCTGAGATTGAAACTGAAAATCAGCTCATGGAACGAATACATGACCAGTTTTGTTCACCACCTTTGTTGCGATCCGATCTTAAATCGAGAATGTTCAACAGTTCAGAGTCTGGGATTGGCGAAAGTGTACAGTCATCTCGATTATCTGTTAATGATGTGTCGTTGCAAGCAACATGCGAAAACGTCGGCGTTGAAGAAATTTCTGCGACTTGCACTCCGGTTTTGCGAGAGGTTCACCCACAGTTGCTGTTCGGTGTGCGAAATAAACAGTTATCTGAAAATGACAACGGCCTACCGAAGCCGAAGCAACGACGTTTTTTTCTGAAGACAATTTTCGGCATAAAGAACCCGTGCGAAAGGCGGCGCTCGAAATCGCTTGGAGCATCTACAATCTTAGCTACAGGTTTGTCAACAGCATTTTGTTCACTCGACATTGCTTAAGTGTGAATTTTTGAAGTTGTTTGTTTACAAATCTAAGTGTTTATTTATCAAAATATTTGAACCCTGGTATCTTCCCCTCATCATCTTAGTTATTTCAACTACTTTGAGTACTCTCGATCTAATAGCAATAGGGACAAATATATGCGATGCACGCACAGGTATGAAGGGCCTTAAGCTCAGTTTTCAATTTTGAAGTTTCTCAATTTTAAACTAGTTTTCAGGCAGGAATCTAATATCTCTAGTTTTTTAAGTGGAAAATGTAGTTTTTTAATTATCAACCTTGTGTAAGCTTATCAAAGAAAGATTACATTTGACGTTGTTCATGATTTCCACTCAGAAAACGGTTTCTTGATGGTTTTAAGACACACTTGTACACAGGACTGGATATAGCTACACTATATATGTACTGGATATATGTATATATACATTTGTGTATATATATATGTTTACATATATTTATACATGTATATATATGTATATATATACTAGTATACAATAGATATACACTATCCACCAGATATAGTTAAGTGTAATGGGGTTTTAAAAAGTGAATCTTCAACTGTATTGTTTGGAAAATGTATGTCAAGCAACACTTCTTCAACGCTTTGGGATTTATATATACTATGAGCTGCTAGTAAATGATCTCGCCATCCTGCCGGTGATATTTCTCTATTAGCGGCCTCTCTCTGCCGTTTAATCTTTAAATTCACACCGTTTCTGTGAATCGTTTTGGAAACAAACGCTTTCGTAATTCTTTACGGAAACTCGGCGTGAATTTTGTCCACTTCTCAGCTCTTAACAAAGGTGTTTTCCAAATAAATAGCGGAAATAATAACCTTTTCGAATCCATGTAGTAATTATGTTGCGGCAGTGAAGCTAAAATAGTGCTTGGTGCGATGAGTTTACTTATTTTTGTTATTGTGTGGTACTTCTAGTATTTTAGTATTTTAGAAATACAAAGGATATACGTAGCAGAAGTAACAAGATAAATTTCCTAGCATAATTGTGTAGTACACTTGATTAAGACCCACAGAAAATGGGCTACATTTGTGGGATAATCTTTTGTATTGTCAGTCTGATTAGTTGTCGGTGTCACGTTCGAATGAATTTAAATGTGACTGTGAGTCGCTCAAGTTATCTTCCAACGTAAGGTGACCACAATGACATCGACATGGTGCCCCTCCTTTCTTTTTCTGTAGTTGTTCTTGCAGAAGTCAACTTTCCGTTAGGTATGTTGTTCAGCTGCTCTCCTAACTGTTTTTACGATAATACGGTGGGTTTGCACTCTGTATTAGTGTTGCGTAGGTGGCCAATAATTTATCGTTTTTTCTCTGACGCATTAAGAAAACACGTTTCTAATGTGGAGTCGAAATAGTAACATACCGATGAAATCCTATGTTTATTGAGATGCAGAAACTCACGTGGAATGATTAATTGAATTGGTTGTCATCGTTGCTTTCAAGGGTGTTGTCATAGTGTTATTGCCAAAGAGTTCTTCGATACTAATGATAAAAGAGTTTAGCCGATATCAATATCGTACATTTTAAACTGGACATTTATCATATTGCCACTTACTGGTCCAGGTTTCCCTATATACGTTGCTGATAATTGTTTTAATTCGTCTTCGGTTAAATAATATGCCAAATGCGACACCCTAATGGAAATGTTCAACAGTTGGTTTTCAAACTACTTGACTTCTGTTTCAGTTTTCTTGCTTTGCAGTGCTCGTAGATCACATCAGGATTGGACTGTTTTCCTTCATTTCCAAATTCAGAGTGTAGAATACTCATATTACCACTTTCACTGGTATTATACTATCTACAGTGGTATTGTATCATCTATAGTTCTGACGAAATAACGTTCTGGTAAATCGATATGTTTATATTGTTGTACTTACAAAATGTTGATAAAGATCTTTGTTCGGCTAGCGTTTCAACGTCTTCGTGTGCTTCAGAACCGACGTTCCGAGTTGATGGTTAAATAGCGGTCGGTTTCAGAACTCTGGCAAATGTTCAAATTTCTTACAATGTTATGGTCTCGATTACCGTATCGTATCTGTTGTAGTGTTGACTGGTTTCTGTTGTTGCGTTAATCCAAATTCGTTTCTCCCATTCCACTTTCACTGACACGTTCACGACGAAACTGCTTTCTCGACAACGGAATAAATTATCCATGAACAGAGTGGTAGTGAAGTTAATAACTTCACCGTTTTATAAAACAAAAAAGAAATTTCTGTCCTAAAGGTACGTGTAGTTGCTACAAAATGGCTTACTAATTTCAAAATTGTTTAGTATTAAAATTTTCAGAAAATTTGAAATCTTCATTTTCGTTTTTGAGATTTTCTTCGCAAACAACAGCGGTACATAGGGGAACCCTACCACGTTCTCTTGGATGATTTGATGCAAAACAAGCAAAAGAAAAACAGTAGAACCTGTAGACAGTAGTAGAAGAAAGAATACATATTGATTAGTCACACCGAGGTTTAGGGAAGGTCGGTTTCGAAATATTACTACGCTTTGTGCTAGCTGATAATACACCGACCTCTGCACGATGTGCGCAATGATGTATGTCCGGAAGAAATACAAGTTGTTACCACCGGACATTGTCATTATATATCCACCATCAGCATCGTGTATAAAAAAGGACATCACTGAGTGAGGATGCCTCATTCGAGAAGATGGCTCGCTGAGGAAGATCTGGCTCGACAGGAAGGCGAAGACGCAACGTCGAGGCGAACAACAAGCATGGACCAGCGACTCGGATCACCGGCTCTGAGGAAGACGAAGACGTCGAAACGTTAGCCGAAAATAAATATATTTATCAACCTCGTGCAAGCTTATCAAGAAAGAAAAAATATTGAGTAGAACCTGTATCTAATAAACATGCAACCGCAGATTCTTATGATTTTGTTCAATTAATAAGGATCGCTATGAGCTAAAATGTGTTGTTCTAAAGTTGGAAGTGGCCATCAATTTCACATCGAATGACTCCATATAAGGTCATATCTTGGCGAATATGTGTTATTATATTTTGGGCGTAGAATGGTTAATTCCTTTTCTTTTTAGCTTAATGGTTTCACAAATATAAAGTACAGTTTCATACTTAATCTGTGGTCTCTTGAACTCCTTTGTAAGTGATTCCTAATTCATTGACGTGTACCAGTATCACTTAGAGTGTGTTTGACAAGTTACTGATAGAATATGTTTTCTAATCTTATATGGAATTTTCGCTTTCATCAAGATCCAAGAAAAACTTTTGCGAATTAAAGCATTTTTTCTGTCATACCTACGGGTTCTAGCGGTGTAGAATTTCTCTGAACTTACCATGTTTTGCTATGCGGCTTTTGTTTAGATTGTAGTACACAACTTACTACTAATTGAGGGAGCAAATTACCAGAGTGTGATTGATTTAAATAATCTGTGCTACTAGAGAAACATCGCTAATAATGATGAGTTTTTCGCGCTGAGGGAGACAATTTTAGGCGATCGGCCGACGTCTGTATTTGGATCGTCGTTACTGAACCGAGAATGGGAGATAGTCACGGTTCGCGAAATGTGCCGTCGGCTTTCGCTCGACGAAGCCGAGCAATTGGAGATGCCGATTCCAGAAGGAGCGTCCCAGTCGCAGATTCTAGATGAACTGATGATTCGGCAGGTACGAATATGAACTAGACGGGTATGAATAGTAAAATGGTTTAGCGAAAACTATGAGCTATTATTAATCTGGTTTCAACGTAATGCAATTCTGAACAAATAGGTACGAGTTTCGTAATATGGTTGGGAAAAAAGTTATATTCTAAATGGTCAGAATTTCATAAGTTTCATTTTTGACATTCTTCGCCCATACTCTAATACTAAACGACGTATGTTTCGAATCCAAGCAATTAGCTGATTCCTTTTCAAAATCCCCGAGTAGTTCTTCATAGGCGAAATTAAGTCTTCACCTCCTGAGATAGTTCGAGACTGTAAAATTCAATCGTTGATCGCTGAAACCCGTACATAATAGTAAACGGGGAGTTTCATTACAACATAAAGAAAAGCAGTATCAATCACACTAATATCAAAATAGATGAGGCATAGAAAGAACAAATAAGCTGATGTGGAAAACAGAGGTAATGATGATTAAGCTCGAATAAAGAAATCGCTTGAATCACAGGAAGTCGGAGCTAGAGTCAATCTAGTATCTAGTAAGATATGTAGATCTAGTGTAATAGAGCAAAATCTCTTATATGTGTTCCGATTGTTCATTGTCCGCCAACATATGTTTTAATTGCCGACGGGTGATATATTTATTTATGTGATCTTATAAACTGATCTTCTTAAGTTGACGCGAGGTTGGTACAGATCTTTGTTGTCGTTGTCGTTGTTTTTGATCTTGTTGGTCGATGGCTGACGTTTCGACGACTTCGCCTTCCTCAGAGCCTGGACGTACTTTATGTTAGAATACTTTTTATTATTCGGTGGAAAAGAAGGTTAAAGTATTAATGAAGATCAAACTTTCAAATAGACGCCATATTGAACAGAAAAGCCACTCACCGTGATGTTACGTGCGGGACTGACCCACGCGTTGTTTTATTGGAGTCACGAGCAAGACACACCCCGAGGTCAAAATATCATTTTGAAATAGGGTGCCAGGTCACGCGTGATAGTGAGGCAAAAAAGTGCCTGCAGGTGTTTGCAAGTCCTCATGTGGCCCAAAATTGACCGTCATCTTCGTCGTTCACCACGATAGCCACACGTAATTAGGCCTAATGCTTCATATGCCATGGAGGACCACCTTTTTTTGAATTGGCATCATTCTGTGATTTATGGTTCGTTCCGTCCTTTGAAATATGTAGTCAGTGTCTTAAAGTAGTTAGGAAAGAAATCCATGGAACGCCTTGGTTGATGTCGTTTTCTCCAACAGTATCCCTCAAGAATATAGATTCGTAATCAGAACTGTTGCTTAAATGCCAGGGTTTCAGCAAAAAAAAGCATTGTACCTTATCTCCTCGGAACGGATCGTGCGATTTTGTTTCTTTTTTTTCCTTTCATTCTTATAAATTTAGTTCTTCACTTTATTTGAACAAACTGTTCTGAGTACTTCCTTGATGACCATTTGGACAAAATTTATCACCACATATCACATTTTATTCGAACGAATTACATGTGTAGGATCAGTGTTAAGAGTCAAGAGGAGCTCGAATTTTCGTACTTGAATGTTTCCATTATTCCTGTTAAGAGAGTTTAGAGCAGACAAGTGAATGAATTTGTAAAGCTCTACTTATTGGTGGTTCATAAAAGAATAAGCGGAATAGGTTTTTTATTTCTTACGTTCAAGATCATGGAAATTCTTCCTCCTCGTGCTGAAGGCTACCCTTGGATGAGCATCTACAATTCGGAAAAACATGGTTTCTCGCTAACTACGCTTTATAGGTAAGTCTCTTATTGTCGCGGCATCAGCAGTTTTTTTCTTTTTTTAAATTTGCCCTGTAGAACATCAGAAAAGGATTTTTCTGGCCAAAACATTGTCTGATTTCGCTGGAAATTTTGTCCACTTCTTCGTATTTTTTAAAATTCTTTTTTCTTTAACATTCGAAGATAATGACCTTTTTCGGATGGAGGAATGCTGGTTTCGCATATTTGTTTTATTTCCTTTTATTGTTTTCTTTGGGAGCAAACACAAGGTTGTTGATACAGCATTTATTAATTCACAATAGCTGACATTTCGGCGGTTTTGCCTTCCTCAGAGCCTGGAAAGGTCAATTTGACACGCAGTCTATTCAGCCAAGCACTTTCATAACATCAAGAGCTAGAACTAAAGATGTATAAATAATATGATATCTAAATACAATATAATAAAGTAATATGTAATAAATATAATATAAATAATACAATATGTAAGTGATACATAAATATGTATACGTACATGTAGATGTATATATATATATAATATGTATATATATATATATATATATATATACATTTATACCAGGAGTTGCGAAGCTCTCTGATTGGTATGGTTACAGTGTCTATGTTTCGTAACGACTTTTGTAGTGTATTTATTTTCATCTGATCCGTCTTCACGTCTACTGTGCGGATCCCAGCACTTCTCACATCCTCGTTTCCTCACATCCATCATCCATGAAAGTCTTATAAGTTTTTACGTGTGGCTTCGGTTGCTGCTTGAGGATTTTCATTCCATCTTGAATGGCTTAGAATGCTGGTCGAGCAATTCTCCCTGGAGTCCTGAGATGGCTGGGCTGGAGCGTTCCCAGTTGGATTGCAAAGAGTGGTTTTATTCCCTGACAAGTCCGGTACGAGTTTTCCGACCCCGGAGGGATGAGAGGCTTGGTTGGCGCGGAGTGGAATCGAACTAGTACCATGCTCGTGATGACGGACATCACTACTTTGCAGTGTTAGTTCTTCAACATGAGGTTGAGCGTTGTATCGCGAAAATTATGAACTTTTTCTCTGGTCCAATACATGTGATATCACTTTAGTAGGATTTGTTTGATTAGGAGGCAATATTTATCTACTGTTATCGTTTCGTCAACATTCTGGACAGTTTACGAGGGCATTCTCTCCTTACAAGATTGGGAGAGTTATGTTAACGGTATTTTGGTGCAAATTCTGCGTCAGGAAGTGCTTACCATACCTTTTCAATTCTAGCCTTCCTCTCGGACGTTGTCTGCTATTGTATTGACTTCACTTTTCATCGTAGATTACAATGCGATCAAAAAATGAGTCGTCACTGCTCGGTAGAGGGAGCACAGAGCAGACTCCGCTGCAGTGATACCATCGCCATTGCTTGAATTCCTCAGACCATTTATCGAGCTATTTCACTTCTTCATGTACGAAGAAGAAGAAGACTTACGTCTTCATGGATGATCATAAACGAGCAATTTATTAACTTCTTTAGGGCACTTGTAGCGCAGTGGTCGGAGACGTCCAGCAACACCCACGTGAAATCGATCCTTGCGTCCATGGCTCCATCTCATCGGAGTCGTCAAATTGGTACCAGACCTGTCTGGGAGGACAGCAGCACTGGCTCGATGCATCGGTAGACCACCGCGAGTCATTGTAAAGGCCAGATATGCATTCAATCACCTCCAAACGATGCTTAATGAAGTTGAATGCATACCGCATCCCTCAGAGATTGATCAACGCCGAGAGCTTTTATTTATCCCACTTCTTCACTGTGTTTCGAATGAGGGACGATTGTTGATTTAGGAACTTTTTCTTTCTAGAACTCATATATTTTTTCTACTTTTGTTCAGCAAACTCGAGGTGTTACTTAATTTCTTTATTTACGTACAAGCTAACGTTTCGGCAGATTTCGCCTTCCTCAGAGCTTGGAAAGGTCAAGTTGACAGCAACCTATCCGGCCAAACACCTCCATAACCAAACAGAGAAAACGCTAAACCAAGATTTCAATCACATTTAACATAGCCCTGCACACTTACCGCTTTCTATGAGTCTTCCACCAAATATGCTACGTGGAGACCAACGGCACAGAGTTCACACGGAATCATATTGTGCCCGTTTCATCAAAATAACAGGCTTATATACTGCCCAATATCACGCGTGATAACGAGCATTCCTTTCTGCTGTTCATTTTCGAATTCTTGGAATTAATCCAGAATGCCTCTAGAGTTTTGCACGCTTCTGTTCCCGATTCTTGCGCGAGGATTTTAACGCTTACTTCAAGATCTTCTTCGTTATGTCTCTGCGTCCTATGCATGTCTAATGGAGTATTTGGTTTACGTTTGCCGACTAGGTGTTCTTTTATACGTACGCAGAGTGGTCTACCCGTTTCGCCAACGAATTCGTCCCTGCACACTTTACAAGAGATCAGATAGACTGTACCCCAACTGATGCAGTCACCGTCTCTACCATTGGGGCAAATTATGCAATTTTGCGTTGCACATAAACGGTCGCATTGGCGGTTACGAACTAGCTGGCGTCTTAGATTAGTCGATGGTGTTTCGATTATCGTTGCCGAATTCTCTAGACTGGCTCTTCTTAAACAGCGTTTTATAGCTGCATTTACTTCATTTGAAATGAAGGGCAGTATAAACGGGATCTTATTGTCGCTAGAGTTATCGTTGGGGTACCTGTGGTTTCCTCTACACCTATCTCGAGCTACGGTTTCGTAGCCATTAAAATGGCTACTTGCCGCGCCAAGTTCCGGAACTCTCTCTGCTCTCTTCCTGTGCACATGCTGGTAGCTGTTCGAAACATGTTTCTCACAAGCGCCCATTTTGTGTGAGAGCGGTGAAGGGAGGGGTAGTGAACCAAGATGTTTTATTACTTGGTTTTCGATACCATTTCGTAATGTAGCCGTTTTCTGATAGGTTAATTTGCACGTAGGTAATGAACCAAGATGTTTTTACTATATGTGTCTGTCAAATACTTAATACTTTTTACTTTACTAATGTGTCAAATATTTTTTTCAAAGATCTGGTTCGGCTATCGGCTCAGGTCGTCGTTATCAACTGCTGAAAGGCGTACTCGACTTTTGCCATCATGAAGGCTTAAATCTTCCGTGCGAAATTTGTGTTTGGAAGCCCTTTTTCTGACTCATGATTTGACAAAATTTGAAGTTGCTATTGTCGTCTATATGTCTATTTTCGGCCTCATAAAGGCAAGCGGGGCAATTTCTGTGACTTGAGCGCATCACTGCATTGTACATTAAATGTTAGAAAGAACCATTGCATGACAAGTTGGTAATAAAGAAATGCTTTAAAGTGATGTTCATCAGCAATGTATGCCATAAGAATTTGATGCAAAATTTATTTGCGAATTGATGGGAAGGAGGATGGCTACAATTTTTTAGAGGTTTTTTTGCAAGGCGATATAGCAAGGTCTCTGATATATGTCTATTATATTCTGAAGGTCTTTTGAACATGTGATTGAATGAATGTGAATGTGGCGGATAGCACAATGTAGTGTAGTGCTGTCCGTCATCACAAGCTTGGTGCTGGTTCGATACCGCTTCTGGCCAACAAGCCGCTCATCCCTCCGGGGTTGGAAGATTAGTATCGAACTTGTCCGAGAGAAAAATCACTCTCTGCAATCGAACTGGGAACGCTCCAGGCCGGTTATCTCAAGGGGATCAACTCAACCAGCATTCTACGACATTGAAGATCAATTGAAAATCGTCATGCAGCAACTGAAGCCACACATAAAAGTTGGAAGATCTTCGTGGACAACGGATGCGATGAAACGAATTGAATATGAGAAGTGCTGGGGTCCGTACAGTAGACGTGAAGATGGGTCATATAAAATAAAAAGAAGGTTCTTATGAACTGCTTTATCGAAAGTTATCAGTAGTTGTCGAAAAATTGCCTACCGCTGTAGTGTTACATTCTTCTGGGAATTTGTGAAACTTTTTCGGAAAATTATATTGGTTTTCAATACTAATTCTTTACGATTGTAGTATCTTATATATTTTATTGCAATGACTCACGATGAAATAGTTCAAGCGAAATAAGGATCAGTATTTAAGAAACAGTTGGTTATTGGGAGACATGATATGGAAAGAATCATAAGTTGTCGAGGATTAAGTTCATGTGGAGGTGTCGGAATATTATGTCCGTATGAGTTTGAATTCAGGAAAATGATCGAATTCGATGAGGATCTGTCGCCAGTGTTGCTGATCATTCGCGACACTCGTGAACATGTGTTCGGCGCGGTTGTATCCGGGGCAATTCGTCCATCCGACCACTACACAGGCACTGGGGATTCATCCCTTCTTTGGCGGTTCCTTGGAGAGGTTCCACATACGAGGTTCGTTTCAGTATTTCACCATGATTGAAAATGCTTGCTACATTCGTCGACCAATAATTCTCTGGACTGTTTTATTTTCAGTATCGTTTTTTTTTCCAGAGAACTGCGACATTATAAGTGGACAGGCGAGAATCAGTTTTTTGTCAACGCCGCGAAGGATTCATTGTCGATCGGTGCCGGGGGTGGCCACTGCGGTCTGTGGCTAGATGGTTGGTTTTGAGCAACTGGGCATTATGTGTTATCATTTCTGCCTTCTAGTTTGTTTATTTTCTTTTCATGTTCATTATCCGTCTTGTGTCTTTTTAGCCGACCTCAACCATGGTCGATCACAGCGTTGCGACACTTTCGATAACGAGCCGCTGGCTGGCGAAAAGGAGGATTTCATTGTTCAGTTCATCGAGGCTTTCGGTTTTCGTATGTAACGTGTTCATTTTACAAGAGTTTTCCACGCGATGAAAAGCGTTCAGCTACCGACACGACTCGTCTTCACGTTCGATTGTAAAAAAATTTGTGACGTTAAGTTGTTTTATATCTAACAAAGCACCGAAAGGTGTTCACTTTTGCCCAGCTCTGTAGTAAATCCATCGCGATCGATATTATTCCGTAACATAAAAATCCTGGGTGGTTTAATAGATTTTATTGTTTTAATTCATAACGTATGGGATGTACTCTGCGTCTATGTGAATATTTATTTCTTTACTGTAATTTATGGGAAGACGATCGGCATTTGCAATGACTGTGAAGGAATTCTTTCCGCTCTGTGAACATCACATGTTAGTTTGGTTCAAAAAATATCTGCGGTTTGTTGGATCGTTGTTTTTGTTCATTATCGATTCAAACAAAATAGCGTAATTTTTGAATCAATTTAATCCATGTTTTACTGTATTCTTGTGGTTTTTATTTGTGGACCGTTTGTATTGTTTTTCCAATAGTTTTACTTATAGTGCAACAGATGCGTGATATGAATTCATACCGGTATGAGAATCAGACAAAGTAGTCAGAATCCACTGCATGCTCCAATGCAAATGTGCGCTGAGTTGCTAATTCATTCATGTACAATTTTATTACCGTATTGTGTGCAAGCAATATGGTTGCGTTTTATGTGACTGTGTTTGTCTTAATAGGTTAAACATTGTTGAATCGTGTCGTTTTATGCGTAAGAGGTTCTGGGAGATCTCAGGGACAGGGATATTTTTTTCAGATTTCTGCAAAAAGATTGGTATGCTATGAACCGAAACTTCGAGAAGTTGTAACTCGTTTCAAAGAAGTTTGCTACTCAGAGCCGATAGAGTTTCTACTTGATTGTCAACGAGTTACAAATTTATTTGTACCGGTGGAATAAAATTCTAAACTTCGTTAAATAACCAGTTGTTTGAAGGTATTTGGTTGTTGAGGGTTTTTGCTTGGAAGTACTCGTCGAATTGGTTGGAAAAGTGGTAATGGGTTAGTGAGAGGGTCTGATGAGTACTACGCTATAGACAAGATTTCGCTGCATAATTCATTCGAAGTGTGGGGTGTTCTGCACTTTAGCTATTTTGTCGCTTAAGAAAAGAGGATCTTTCGTTCAATTATGTCTGGATACATTCACTGCATTTTGTGTAGAATTCCATCGATTTCGCCACAGTACTATGAAGCGGTTGTTTTGTCAATATTGCAAACGGATGACTGCATCTGCTGAAAATGTAGAAGTCATAACCTCATTTTAGTATAAATTCTGCTCTGGGAAATGTCTAGAAGCTTCATGACAACATTCCTATTGAGTGACGTTTGTGGTTGTAGCATTCACACTACGTAATTACAGTGCAATCGGGAACTGGATCTTTTAAATGCAAAACAAGTGTGGAATAGAAATAGACTTTGGCGACAATTCCATTATCAATTCGTTCGTTCCTTACGGTACCTTTTTATCCAGCTTTTTTGACTTTCTACTGTTATCGGACTGACGAACGGTTGTTGGCTGGCTGGGACTGAGCTCCTTCGATCTTCCCGAGATGAATTGTGTTTTACGCAGAATATTAGCTAGCACCTAGTAAGCAAGAAAATGGCGTTGAAATTGCATAAGCATCAGTGTCGAGAATTGGTTTGTCATACACAGTGCCTTTGTAAAATCTATGACAATAAAATTGGTATTCTTTTAGCACAAACATGGTATTTTCCAGTCTATTCGTCTCGTGTGACGCAGTCGTTGGAGTGGTCCTGCAATTCACATGGGATCGACCTCTGTGGCGCAGACTCACCAAGCCCTCCATTCGTCCTGGGTCGGTATACTGGTACCAGACTTGTCTGGGAGGATAGCAGCACTGGCCTGATACATCGGTGGACTACCGCAGGTCATTGCAAAGGCCAGATATGCATTCAATCACTTCCAACGATACTAAATGAAGTCGAATGCATGGCGCATCCCTCAGGGATTGATCAACGCCGAGAGATTTGTCATTTATTCATTGTCCGTTGCTCGATTCTGTTTCCAAGTCTGCTTACAGAATAGATTATTAGAACTTAGAATTATTGGTAAAAGACGAGGTTAATAGAAAGTCGGTTGTGGAATTTATCCACACTTTCGTCAAAGGGCTCACTTTTGACGAAACCACCCCTTTGACGAAAGTATGGATAAATCCCAGGCCCAATCTTCTACTAACCTCGTTATTGACCAATAATTTACTGGCGTTTTGGATAAATTTCAAAAATCCAAGAATGAACCGGAAGGACGAATGCCTCACTATCACGCGTGACTTGGCACCCTATTTCAAAATGATATTTTGACCCCGGGGCGTGTCTTGCTCGTGACTCCACGTGAACTACGTGTGGGCCATTCCCGCACGTAACATCACGGTGAGTGGCTTTTCTGTTCAATATGGCGTCTATTTGAAAGTTTGATCTTCGTTAATACTTTAACCTTCTTTTCCACCGAATAATAAAAAGTATTCTAACATAAAGTACGTTCAGGCTCTGAGGAAGGCGAAGTCGCTGAAACGTCAGCCATCGATCAATAGCATCAAAAACAACGACAACGACAACGAAGATCTGTACCAACCTCGCGTCAACTTAAGAAGATCAGTTTATAAGATCACATAAATAAATATATCAATAATTTACTGTTTCCTTGATGAGCATGGGTTGTTACTTAGACCCAGAGCTGAGCAGGATGAAGCGAATGGAGTGGGTAGCTTCCAACAGCATCGAGGTGAACAGAACTATAGACACAAGACTCCGAGCACGCACTTTTAGCTCCACGATTCTTCTTACTCTAACGAACGTGTTGGAAACCTGATTGCTACGTAAGCAGCGAGAAAGATCACTCAGTGTAATCGAACGCGCATTCGTGACGATAATGCTAGGGCTATCCTGTATCACAGCAAGAGAATGCTATGTCAAGCGTACGTCAGGAAGATCACCAACCTAATTAAATGATCTCTTCACGAGGATTATTGAAGAAAGTTATAATGCTCAGAATGCCATAGAGAGAGCAGAGCCTCTCTGGGCATCTTTTGTATGTGACGAGGAACAATGAAATATTTGCTTGCCCTCGTTCTGCTCAGTCGACGATAGACTGGAAAACAGTTAGTACAGATGATTTTTATTCGTTTATTCTTGCGTTTATTTCCTTATGTGAGCACGAATATAAAGGTCCGTGGTGATGCTTGCAATACAAATGTTTTTCCGGACGAAGAGGTTTTCTTCGGACGACACCATTTCACGTGAGCTATCGAGTACCACGTGGAAGCTCGATTTCTCATTTTGAGATGTTGCATAGTAGAAGAATTAGGTTTAGAGCGCGCGTGGCACAGTGGTCGGAGGCGCTCTGCAACACATGGAATCGATTAACGCGCCCATGGTTCACCAAGCCTTCCATCCCTTCGGGGTCGGCAAATTGGTGCCAGACTTGTTAGGGATGATAGGCAGCACTGGTTAGATACGTCGGTGGGCTACCGCGAGTCATTGTAAGGACCAGCTATGCATTCAATCACTTCCAACGATACTAAATGAAGTCGAATGCATGGCGCATCCCTCAGGGATTGATCAACGCCGAGAGCTTCATCCTTCTTTACAGTTAAAGCAAAATTGATAGGTCGACAGTATGCGGAAAAAATTAATAGGTAGAAGTTTGATAAGGGTTAGATAGTTAATACCTTTTTTTCTTCCAGACAATATCTAAGTTTTCAAGCAAAATACCGAATGTTCATTGCTGTCAATCTAAGATTGTCAAATACTCGTTCATTTTTCACACTTTTTAAAAATTACAGTTACAGCTAAACATGAGGTCTTTAGTAGACATGAATGCACATGTAATTTTCGACGATAAGAACATTTTTCATGCAGAAAAATTTATCAGAACAGGAAACAAATTGAATTCCATTAAATGATGCGATTTCATTTTTCTGCACCAGCTGTTCCTCAAGTGTTCGCCCAGAAAGCTAGGAAAGCTAGTCCATTGGATATCGATTTTTGCAATTCGCTCACATACCGGCTTAAGGGGTTTCAAGCAATAAACTTCATGAAGAGCTTCAAACTTAAGCTTACCGCTCTATGGTCCTCAACATCATCCTTGACGCTGCCCTCAGTAGATATCACAAGGGTCATCGTGTTGTCGTTGGCTGTTTTCACCACTATCCTTCAGTGAAAAATCGGCTCGTTTCTCGGAATCCTATTCGGAGTTGGATGAGAAAAATACGTTTTTTAACCGGTGAAATTTTCGAAGTCCTTGGTTTTTGGGCGAGCTTTCTAGCTTGTTGCGGAATTCAACTTTTACACGGGGGGTCAGGTGACCAGACTACATGATGAAACCGGTACTATGGTGATCGCTTCAAAAGCGTAGCATCCTTGTCACGGCCGGATCAACTTCTGTATGAGTCGTTCTCACCTACTGAGTCCTATATTCAGCGACAAATTTTCCTTCCCTTGAGAAATGGAACCATCGAATCAGTTCTATTGCTCTAGTCTCAATTTTCGTTCGTTTCCTCTTTCAAATTTCCCGTTTCTCGATCCACCTCCACTGTCCTTTATTGAGCTATCGCTGAAATTTCTAAAAGAAACGTGCAGGAAACCTTTTCGTCGCGTAGCACTTCCTCCAGCGGATTATCGAAAGCAACTAGTTCTCTCTTGTTAGTTGCGTGGGTTGGCTAATAGCAGTTTTACCAAGATAATTATCAGGGGAATGGCAACACTTATGCCGATGACGTTTCGTGGCAGGATGTTTTCTGTCTAAATGATTAGAATCCCATCGTTAGTCGATGTATATCAGTCTTCTTTATTATTTTTGTTCTACGCAGAAGGATCACTAGAGGTTTCATACGACTTTCTCCCCTAATATTATGATTTGCAGCTTTTCGAAGCTAGTTGATTGGGCCCTCCCAACGGTTTACCGCCTCATCATGGCTGGAAAGTGTTCCTGGGTCTCGGAATACGATGTATAGCGGGAAGA